TCTTAACCTGTATAAATTCATTGTTCATTGTTCATTGATTCCTGTGAATAATTTTGGAGTTAGCTGGAACATGACGGATGCTTTCATGGTTTCACAGTTTGTTAGCCCGTCTCAAAGCTGGAGATGATAATTTTTAAGATATCAACGAATTCATATACCTTGTTTCGCTTCACTGTAGTTAGGTCGTCTCGAGGTTTCTTAGTAGCGGAAGCAGGATTTCAACATCCCAAGTAAGTTCTGATGGTCCATGCAACGACGGTAAATAAATACATGGCATATTCTCAACAATGCGAGGCATGCCTGCATGGACATGGCCATGCTAACACTACTTGAGTTATCTGTAAATATGCAGAAAAGCTACAGCCTGACATGAATATATGTATGTATGAGAGTATATGTGGATTTCGCTAGTTGGGTCCTTGGATTTGTGCTTGGGGTCGATCAAACTGTCAGCGTGAAAAGGATCAATGGAAATCCTTAATGTTGGTGGACTGACTGACTGACAAACATTTGTACCGGCAAGGTGCGGTGACTTTATTTAGTAGCGAGTCATATCTTTCAAGTTGCAGTTTTGTTAAATTTGCACTAGTGGATTTTTATAAGGTAAACGCTTGCCAGGCGGAACCTGCCACATCCTGAAACACTGCCACCGAACTGTTCGTTGGAACAAGATTTGCCCAAACCATCCACTTAGCACCGCTGAGAGGTTGTTGGTTGATCCAGCCAGCTGCCTCCTTTGAATCCACCTTGTAAATGATTCGTACAAATTTATGTTGGCTACCCGGAAGTTAAATTAATTGCTCTTCTGTTAACTAGCGTTTCGTCGATTTAAGCCCTCCTCTATTCCTTCATCTAACTATTCTGTACCATCTTCGACTACTCCATATTTCGCTGACCATCACCGCTTCGTAAATCCTCCCCATCCACCAGTGTAAATTGGTCAGTTCGGAATATCTTGCCAGTCCGAATTTTGAGATCTTTTGGATACCTTTAGATTCATGGCACACCACAACTGTCTTCCACTTTTTAAGCAAATTGATACACAATTCGGATTCTTAGAAAGGTGGGGCCTTTAACTCAGCCGTTGCCATTTTCCTCGAACACCAAATTTTACATTACCTACTGTAGATATATCCGTTTTGCAAAAATAAGCTGACGGATATTTCGTTCAATCAACTTCCAAGGTCACTGCGACCAACCTACTCTATCCATCTTTTGAATATAAACGCCGTGATATCGTGCACAATCCCCTATCTACCGTCTTTAGACACGAACTTTCACCACAACAAGCGAATTATGAAGAAAGATTTCCATGAAATCTTGTCCGTTTTTGATTGGTTGCCAACTCCGAAGATTTAGTACAGCATTATGAAATCGTTGCTTGATCGATCGACCATTACTCGAGTTATGAGAGTGCGGTTTGCTCATTTTTCTACTCATTTACACTTTACCTTTTTGTTGCTACCCGTCTGAGATATTCACAATTGATAATGAAAATGCACCCATTTGCGTACATAACACTTATATTGACTTGACCTGACTTGAATTAACTGAGTGAGTATTCTAGCAGATCGTCGTGGTCCATTTGGTGCGATCTGAATCAACATGTGACTCATTTTATTCGTTTCCCCATGCAAAGTTGCACTCTGGTGTTGATATTGTATTTCAGCGACTTGTGAAGTAACGTGAATACTGAGTGTTTTGTGCCTGGGTTCCCCAGCCGCGTCAAAAGAAAGAGCTCACACCGCTCTGCGCACAAACGTTCTATTCGCAACTCTGAGGCAAAGTGCAACAAGCTGTCTGTACAAAAACCCACTCGTCCGCTCGATCGATCGTCTGATAGACCGCACTGAGGCAGGCGATTCGGTTTGCCCCAGCTTTCAGCCACCATCACACTGAGTAATCATTAACTTCGGCGCCCCACATAAACCAGGCGTGGTGGTGGGCATATGGTGGTTCTAAGTCGAACTGAAACGAGATTTTCCATGCACCGAGGTACGTCACAGACTCCGGTTGAAATTTGCTACCATTCTTGAAACATGAATAGTGGAATATCTGCCGACTGCATAAATGCTTCGTAAGCAGGAAATCTTTTAGGCTAGAAGACAGCTCCTGCAAAACAGCAGCTTCTGAGGCAACCATTATTTTGAGTCGGATGTCGATTTGTGCACTAGGTGTGTCAGAAAACTTCCAGGACTGGTGCCACAAAATATTTATTTCAAACCTAAATGTCACATTAAGAGTTTTCCCCTTTAAAGTACTCACCTTGGAGCCTAATCCACTTTCTCATCCTTCTCTATCGCTTTTGTATGCGCTCCTGGAAGGACTCTTCCAATTTGCCCCGCGACTTCATCGCCAGAACGTTTATGGTGTCGTTAACCTTTTTAAAAGGAATTCACTTGAGCTTGGGGAAGAGCAAAGTCGCACTGAGCCAGATTGGGTGAATGAGAGGATGCTCCAGCACAGCATCGTTCTTCTCGGCGAAGAACTGTCGGAGAACAAACTTCAGATCCTTTAGTGGAATAATCCGATGTCGCCATGGCTGAAGAAAACATCATAGTCAAAGTCATGTTGATCACATTCTTCGGTGAGCAGTGGATTGTCTAGTGCGAGTTCCTAGCACACGACCAAACGATCAGCTAACATGTTATCAAGTTTTTTTTACAGTCTTCGCTTTGTTCAGTGCGTGAGAAGAGACGACAGTAGTGGCAGTGTAACTTGTGGCTGCTTCACCATGACAGCGTGCCTGTTCACAATGCCATGAACATCCAACAGTTCCTGACAGACGAACGCTATCGTACTTGAGCAACCTCTTACTCGCCCAACCTGGCTCTGTGTGACTATTTCCTCTTCCCCAAACTCAAGGTGAGCATCCAGTAGATCCGGTTTGAAGACGAGGAAGACGACAGAAAGTCGTGACGACGAAGCTGTGGAGGATCCGAGAAGAATCCATCCAGCAGTGCATGCAAGCGTATCAGAGAAGTTAATAAAGTGCGTTAAACTACAGTGAGAGTATTTTAAACGGAAAATCTCTTAATGTGAATTTTAGGTTTGCGACACATCTTGTGATACCCGTCCCAGAACTATTCAGACTCACCTCGTACGCCTAATGTTTTGACCTATGCGTACTGCTCCTGGCAATAAGCCGGTTTCGTCTGGCTGGACACTTCTAATGCGTTGCCACTCGTTTATCACTTTTGATCTCTTCCGTTTTATACTGTTAACGGTAGCAGTCTCTTGATAGGGAAAAGACGGCAGCAAGAGTACCGTTTTATGAACTTGGTGAGCAAGTAATATCGGTATTCGCATTAGCGTTATGCACCGTCAAGGACGATCCTCAATAATGGCAAGTCAGATTGACTGTGCAAGATGAATGGTTGGCTCTCAGCACTTCTGAGAGTTGCTGCTGCTAGCATCGGTTACCAATCACCTCGACTACGGTTACTGTCGCCTGTGAGCTGCAATCAGGATACAAGTGAGTTATATGTCTGACGTCTATTCTCACTTGATTTACTTCGACTGGGCACGCGCGATACTGGTCCAAGTGCCCATTTATCCCATGTCTCCAGTTTGATCACTGGCTACGGAAACCTGCTGCCAAATATATGGGGTTCACAGTCTGCGTGATTGCGATTGAATTGGACTGTTTATCTCAAGTTACTTCACTACCAGATGAAATGTGTTTTTGGTTACTTCTCTTATCATGTTATATCTCCACCACTGCGCTTCCACTGCCAAACGGACTCATGTTTGCTTTCGATTCGCGGATGGTTCACATAGCCGCTTGCTTGGCAGTCATTGGAAGACCCACATGTCCTTACATTTAATGGGTTAGCTCGCTATGTGCAAGCGTACTTTCTTCTAAGTAGTTCGATGGGTTTATTTACCATCAGGGACCAATGCGCTACCTTATTGATTCTTGCTTCCTCTCAACTCCTCAGTGTGGAAGGTAAAAACGACTCATTCAACTGACTAACCTCATATCTGATCGCGTAATTAGTAGAGCTTGTCCTCCGTGATTCGGCGGGTTTGTGTCGCACATTGCCGAGCCGATGATAATCCACCACTCTGCTAGATCTCAAAGCACATTTGGTTTATTAAGGATCCAAATAGATTTTCAATGATTCACGGGCAATGCTGGTCTTCAGCAAAGCAAAGGAACGCAATCGAAAGCCACTTAGGAGCATTGCTCCTAAGAAAGAGCTTTTCATACATATACCCTTTAAGGGCGATTATCCAGCTGATATGTTATCCAGACGCCCCAAAGCCGCTGTCGAGAAAATTTATTTCGCGGCCCACCTGAGAATCGTTTTACACAATAAGCCGTTGCTTACGAAACCCTTTAAAGATAGACTACCGTCGTTGACCCGTTCAATGATCGTTTATCAGTGCTCGTGCTCCTGTGGTGCACGATACGTGGGTCTCACGACAAGGCGCTTATCTCAGAGGATTCATGAACACATCCCGACATGGTTTTACAAAGGCGAAATGAGGTCTTCAGACAGCTCAATCATGTCACACCTCCTTGAATGTGGCCACACAGCTTCAGAGAATGACTTCAAAGTCATTTATTCACTACCTGAACACTACACCCAAGGAGTCCGCAAACAGTTCTTATCCATCGCCGAGGCTATCTACATTCACCATCTGGAGCCGGAATTATGTATACAAAAACGATTCATACGGCCGATACTACTACCTTGGCCAACGGACACTGTTACTTAGTTATTTGGCTGTTATTTCACCTACTTAATTACTTTGGACTACTGAGCTTTGCGTAGGCATGTGTATTTAGTTTAATTGGTTCACCATCGTTATCTCTGTCTTAAGTTATCGATTTTGATCACTCAAACAGTCCAGAAGTAAATCCCAGCCCGAGTTGACGTTTATCCCACACTATCAGTGTTTTATAAACGTTTGGGTCCGATGAGAGTTTACCGAAAAGAATTCTTCACCCCGAACTGATCCAACTAGATCCCTACACGACAATCAAAACCACTCAGCAAATCAATGCATATATTACAGCAAAATTAAAAGCAGGTTAAAGTACCGCGCGTTGTTAAGATCAAGCATAGGCGAAAAGAAGCAAACAGATGGTAATAAGTTAATAAATAAGAATGTCGATAAATAAATTATTTTCACAGTACAGTTAAGCGCTATTTCAGCCGTATACACAATTCATTTGACCTGAGGCCAGACTATGTTAGTAGGACGATAAATGCACAATTTTCCTCCAGAATGAGGAACAATCCGCATGGTAAATGGGGGAAATACAATTGTGTAGCGAGGGCGCAAGTCACATTGTCACGGATTCAAACCACTAGTGCGCATGCCGCAACAACCTAAGCTGTGTACACAAAAAAGCGAAACAAGGCCACGCGCCATCATGCAAGCGACGAAGAAATATTCGCAGACGAAATCAGTAAAACCAATGAGTATTGCTATATTGCCAACATTTGAAAGAATGCGGGAATTAAGTGCCCAACCTACCAAAGATGCAAACGTATGCCCACCGCTTGTTGCAACGCAACATCGGTATGGTTAAGCTTGCGTGTTGTAGAAGACGCTTTCTTTGGATGGGGTTGAGTTGTGACAGCTTTAGTCGCGTTGAACATCGTGCACCGGTGAGAATATTCACAAATATGGAAGAACACAGTTGGAGACCGCATGCACTATGAGCTGGGGAAATGAAGATGCACTGTGGAAGTACGTGCACTCTCGCATTCCTTCGTTGCTGAGACATTCATTTTTTGATATTAAATAGAAACCAAAGAAGAAATCGAACATCATACTTGAATCGGGTTTGGTAGTGCAAGAAACGCGGCAGTCACGAAGCGCACTGGAAAGGCCTGACAAGATGCGTTCGAATAAAGGCACACAGTTAGTGTCTGCAATCGCATTCGGCACCTGAACTGCTGAAGGACTCTTGCATCATCCGATAAAGAGGCGCATCACAAAGCAGAGCACTACCGATTAATATGGAGAAAACCTCTGGTACGTTGAGTTGGTCCGGTAAATTCCGGGCGTCGTGACCACCGAGTTGTTTAGGGCATAGTTTGCTGTCAATCGGTTGAGATAGGACTCCATGGATGTGGCGGCTACAGCGGCTGCTGCGGCGGCGTTCAAATCTGGCAGGTAGCTAAACCGAGAGAGAAGAAGAGAGGTACCAGTCAGTATGTTGAGTGGATGCATTTTAAGGCCGGTTCAAAGGAAGCCCTGCTTTTTCACCTCAATAAACTATATGGCGGTGATGGACGGTGGTAGTTACATTACACTAGACATTCAGAGCTCAGCTACTTTGGTGACTTCCTCCTGAGGACTTAATCATGGCTTCGAATTTGCTGGGATTAAATGGATATACTGCTAGCGATGAGCAACAGTAGAGAACTGTTGTCCAGCGATTTTCTAATTGTGTGATGAATGACAGCCTAGATTTTATGAACTTCCTTAAAGATTACGGTTTCAAGTGCCCTCATGCTGTATCTACCTTCTGAATGCAAACATGCCCGAAATCGGCCTTAGAATGGAGTGTTATGGGGCAGTCTGCAAACAATATTGATTTACCGACGAGTCGGAAGATTTTAAATGACCGCTGAAGTTGGATAATTATTCGCGGATGAACTGCATCTAGGCGACAAACCCGGTGTAGGCTCCCATAATAATGATGGTGAGCCCATACTTCATTTCTGTGAAGGTGCTCGCTTAATTCTTGTGGGCGCTAATTTCCGACACAGCACCGCTCGGAAGGTGACTTGGCACCCACCAGCCTCGAACCAGCCATGGACGCAATTTAATCACATTGCGATCAGTTACCGCTGAAGAACCTACGTCCGGAACTGTCGCTCGATTTGGAGCACATGTGTGGACACCGACCATGCACTTGTATGTGCTGACCTGCAGATGCGTTTTAACAGACGCCCACGACGACGCTGTGAGCGCATTGACATCAGCCAACAGGCGAAGCCAGCTGTCCTGAATATGTATCGAAGTACGCCGACATATGAGTTGAGTAAGCGCACACTAGATACAGTTGAAGGTCACGGGTCTCATGTTCACCAGACCTTACAAGTAGCAGGTAAGTCCTCATGTGGTAAGTCTAATAGCCAACCTGGAAGTTGGGTCCCTTCGCGGTCTCTGGAACTTATCGGTGCTCGCCGGTACATCCCGGCTGGAAGCGAACACAGTGAGACTCGAAAAGACCTGAGGACAATACTCCGTGTTGGCCTGAAGCAGCACCGTGAATCCTGATGGTCTGTTCGTGCGGCAGAGATGGAAGTGATCGCTGCCCTTGGTAACCAACGAAAGTTATTCCGTCTGATACGGGAAACGGGCAGTAGGAGGCCTGGTGTTAGTGAAACTATACGTGACCCATTCTCATTGTGCCTGTCTGACGTTGACACAGCTTCTAATGCAGGACAAGCTGGCGTCGGCATTGTTTTGAGTCCCCGCGTTGAAGCTGCCCTGATTGACTGGATCATTGTCAACTGCCGGATGTGCGCCGTTAGGTTGGCTGGCTCGTTCCAGGCTTCGAAGTCACGCGGGAACAAATGGTGCCTGTTTGTTATTGCGGCTTAAGTCCCCATAAACTGAAGCTCTGATTCGATGCTCGATTTGGAGCACCAGCGTAGACTCCGATCACGCTCTCTTGTGTGCTGATCTGCGGGTGCATTTCGGTGGACGTCCGCAACGTCGTTCTGAGCACATTGACATCAGCCAGCTGGCGAAGCCAGGTGTTCTGAATGCGTATCAAACTACGTTGGCATCTGCGCTGAGTAAGCGTTCACTGAACACCGTCGAAGATCAATGGCCGCATATCCGGCAAACGTTGCTATCAGCAGGCATGCCTTCGTGTGGCAAATCGAATTGCCAAACCGGACATTGGGTCTCCACAAAGTCTCTGGAACTCATGGATGCTCGCAGACGTATTCCGGCTGGAAGCGAACACAACGAGACTCGCTAAAGTCTCAGGGAAAAACTGCCTGCTAGCCAGAAGAGTGACCGCGAAGCCTGGTGATCTCATCGTGCATGGGAAATGGAAACAGCCGCTGCCGTTGGTAATCATCGTAGGTTATTCCATCTGCTAAGGGAAATAGGCAGCAGGAGACCTGTAGTTAGCGAGACAATACGCGACGAGCGTGGAAAGCTGATCCACAGCTAGTCAAAAAGCTTGAAGCATTGGGCCGAACATTTTGCAAGGCAGTTTAACAAATCTGAGTTATCGCTTTTTTTCGGGCATTGTCTGCCCTTCTCCATGCGCCATCTCCTTAGATCCGCCTTCCGGCGCAGAAGTCGAACGTGACATCAGACTTGAAATTGCATAAGGCCGCTGGTGCAGATGGAATCCCCCCAGCTCTCTACAAATTCAGGGGACCTGCTCTTGTAGAGGATTTACACTAGTTGCTAATAGAACTCTGGGAGTAGGAAACTGTCCCGACAAACTAGTGCCGCTCCGTCATAGTCCCAATTTGCAAAGGAAGCTCCCGTTTGGTATGCAGCAATCATAGAGGGCTCAGTCTCATCCCAATCGTTTCTAAATTGCTTTTCACTGTCGTTCTCCACGGATTGACTGGCGCTCGTGAAGGCCAGATCCGCGAAGAGTAAGCCCCGTTTCGTCAAAATCGAGGCTGCATCGACCACATCTTCACTTTACATCAATTGTTGGAGCACCGCCATGTTTATTGGCGACCCACCGTTGTCGTGTTTCTTGACATAAAAGGTGCCTTCGTTTCGGTCGATCGATGTGCCCTTTGGGACTGTCTGCTGAGAAAACGTGTGCCCGATAAATATGTAAACATTATCAAAGCGCTGTAGGCACACAGTTCTGGCAGTCTGAGGGTTTACTGCAAACTGCTGCCGCTTTACATTATCGCCAGCGGCGTAAGACAAGGTTGCCCTCTATCACCTTTCCTCTTTAACTTCGCTATTGATGGAGTCATGAAAAGAACGTTCGTTGGACACGAATTAGAAGATGTGGATGTAGTTCCTGGTGAGCGACTTCTTGTCTTGGATTATGCGGACGATATTGTCTTCATATGTGACAGCGCCCAAACCTGCCAGGCTGCACTGGATAAATTAGCTCTGGCCATCACTCTTTTTAGGCTATACTTTGCTCCAACGAATTGCGAAGTTATTCTCCAAGATTGTCAGGGCCCACTCCTGCACTGACCTTTGGTGGTGGTCAGCTAAAAGTCATTCAGGTATTCAAGTACATGGGAAGTTATATTAGCACCCGTGGGATCAAAGCTGAGCTTACGAAACGTATAGCAAAAGCTCGAGGTGCTTTTGCCAATCTCCGCCACCTGTGGTGCAGAGGTAACATCACTCTTACCCCGAAGGGCAGGGTTTATAATGCAGCCGTCCGTTCAACCCTCTTATACGCTTGTGAAACCTGACCCATCAGATCGACAAACATAAAGAGGCTAGCCACGGTTAATCATCGTTGCCTTCTCAACTCATGTCTGGTGGGAGTACCGCGTGAGCAATGAGCGTGTTAGGCGTCGCGTATTTGGTGCGGGAAGAGCTAGTGAACCGCACAGCAGCATTATATTACTTACCAGGCTCAGATGAATGGATCACGTGTAGCACATGCCAGCACACCGTCTCCCGCGACGTGCATTGTTTGCCCGCCGGGGTGTGGTTGGAAGAGGGGGAGAGGATGACAATCAATGATTTGGTCGAGAGAAATGAATACCCTCACTTCGAAGTTGGTGTCGGTTGGTGCATCCCGACTGCCTGGCTAGGGTTCTAATGTCGATGAACACGTTTGGATGGACACACTTGCTGATATGGCTAGGAGCCGGTTCCAATGGCGTCTGTGTTGTGTCTCATTGTCCTTCCCCCTCTTGCTTAGCCTCCCCTCTAATCATGATCTCATTCATTAAGCATAATATAACCCTTTTTGCGGCACGATAGCCGGCTGTTAGCTCTCCGGAACAATGCCCACCCGTTACTGGGGACTCAATCGGCGTGCCTCTGTTATTTTCTCCTTAGGTTTTGTAGTGCGGCACAATAGCTGAGGTGTTTTCCACCCGCAGCTAATGTGTATAATGATGATACAACTTTACGTGATGAGGGTGGACAGCCTATCCACAACTTGTCAAAACGCTTGGAGCGTTGGACTGAGCACTGCCAGTCTATTTAATCGGTCGGAATTGTCAGATTTCTCACCGGTCACTGATCGTCCTGCTCCCTGGGTTGTCCCTTTGGATCCACCCTCTCAACCAGAAGTCGAACGCCAGATCAGAATGCTGAACCTGAATAAAGCCGCGCGACCAGATGACCTTCCTCCTGCTCACTTCGAATTTTGGGATCTGCTCTTGTGAATGATTTACCCGAGTAACTAATGAAACTGTGGTAGCAAGAAACTGTCCCAACTGACTGGAGCCAATCCGTTATTGTCCCGAGATTCAAAGGAGGCTCCGGTTCTGAATGCGGTATCCATAGGGAAATCAGTCTGATCCCCATCGCCTCCAAATTGCTTGCTTCTGTCGTCGTTCACAGACTGACTGGTACTCGTGAAAGCTAGGCTCGTGAAGAGCAATCCGGGTTTCGTCTAGGTCGTGGCTGCATTGACCACATCTTCAGTTTGCATCAGCTGTTGGAGCACCGCCACATATACTGGTAGCCCACCATTGTCGTGTTCCTCGACATAAAATGTGTCTTCCATTCGCTGGATCGATGTGCCCCCTGGGACTCTTTACTCATGAAAGGTGTGCCCGCGAAATATGTGAATATTATCCGAGCGTTCTACTCGCGTAGCTTGGATAGAATGAGGGCTTAAGGTAGGCTGTCGCCGTCCTCCGATATCTCCAGCGATGTGAGACATGGATGCCTGCTGTCACCTTTCCTCTTCAAATTGCTATCGACGAAATAATGGAGATCGCGTTCACATGACACGACTTAGAAGGTAGGGAGCTGCTCCCAGGTGAACGCCTTTTTGATTAAGAGTATACTGATAATATTGCCCTTAGCAGTGACAGCTCACAAACGTTGCAGGATAAACTGGACAGATTAGCACTGGCTGTCAACCGCTTCGGGCTTTGCTTCGCACCATTGAAGTGCAAAACTTTCCTCCAAGATTGGCATGGACCTCCTCCTTCCATGTCCCTTGGTGGGGATCAGCTAGAAGTTGTCCAAAAA